ACCATGTGGCATTTGGGTGTATGACCACGAAAAGTCGGGGTCATCAATTATACGATTTAATTGATGAATTTGATCTGTGTGTCTTTAACAATGGAAGCTTCACTACTATTAATTATCCTAACGGAAATCCATCGGCTATTGATGTCAGCTTTTGTAGTGCTCCAATCACTCCACTATGCGAATGGTGGGTGCATGATGATTGTATGGGGAGCTATCATTTTCCTACGCTTACTCGTGTTTTATTGTCCGTTGATAGATATCAAATTAATCCTCCCATTGAAAAATTCTTATACAACAAGACAGACTGGACGAAATACAATGAGCTGTCTATAACTGCTTTTTCTAATTTTGAAGTTAATAATGAGAATCCATTACAGTCATATGACGAATTTATCGAAAGGCTTGTTACACTTAAGAGGGATACTGTACCAAAGTTTGTCAAAGCAAATAACTATCGTAGCAAACCTCCAGCATCTTGGTGGAGTGACACATGTGAACAGAGTGTTATTAAAACTTATGAAGTTTTAAAACTGTACAGAAGGGATCCAACCATTGATAATTATATTAATTACAAAAGACTTAATACTGTTAAGAAAAAGACTATTTCAGAACATAAACGCAATGGTTTGGCGAACATCTGTAATACTTTTAACAGAACTACATCTGTTAATATTATTTGGAAATACATCAAGTTATTTAAACGAATAAAATGTAATAATAGAGCATATAAAGATGAATTTGTTGTCCCTCTCTTAGATAAATTATCTCAAAATGGATGTAGGGTTATTGATAATCTAGAAAGTTATTTTCAAATTAATAATAGCCTTCAAACGTCCAGTTTCCTCACAGAAACCTTTACTTGTTGTGAGTTTTGTACAAGTTTACAATACAGACGAAACACAACCCCTGGTTTAGATGATTGTCCATACATTTTGATTAAAAACCTAAATCAGTCCGTTAAAAAAAACTATTAGCTAATCTTAATGCTCTTTGGCACTTTAAAAAAATTCCTGAATCTTGGAAAACGCAATGTGTAATCCCTCTACTTAAGCTTGACAAGCCACCTGAAGATCCTAACTCATATCGTCCCATATCATTGTCATCTTGTGTTGGAAAGCTTAATGAAAACATGATAAAGATGCGTCTTGAGTATTACGTAGAGGCGAACAACATCATTCCACATGTTCAATATGGCTTCTGGAGAGGGCGAAATTGTGCTGACAGCTTCATCTCTCTATTGTCAGATCTGAAATATACCAATAACAATAATAAGTCCAGTGTTTGTGTTTTTCTGGATGTTCAAGGTGCGCTGATAATGTTGACTCTGGCATTTTGGTTCAAGTTCTTTCTGACATTGGTATACCAGGCATGCTTTGTCATTGGTTATTTAATTTTTTAACAGATAGAACTTTGTATATAAGACATAATAATATTCTCCATGGTCCCAGAAAGGTCTCCAAAGGTACAATGCAGGGGGCTACATTATCTCCATTGCTGTACAATATATTATATACTAGTCAAATTATTAATTTTGTAAATATAGAAGGTGTAAATATTCTACAATTTTCGGATGATCTTGTAATATATTGTACAGACCATAATGTAGACAGAACTGTAAATAGTATGTGCATTGGGGTAAGATCGGTGATGTGGTAAGACCGTAAAATTCAAATTTCCGGTGAATTATGCTATATTTTTGAAAGCTAGTAATATGGTACAAGACTCCATTTTATTCTGCCCCGACCCCAAGTTTCAACCAGTCGCTCCGAAAAGTAGGGCGTGTGCTGCGCAGTATTTTATAAAACAAGGTAATTTTTGAATTTTTTCGTCTGTCCGGTCTTTCCCTATCACTTTTATTTGCGATATTTAGCGACGTCCGGTCTTCCCCTTGATGGCCAATTCTTCATCATGCATATAAAAAATTATGCTGTGTCTTCGCACACGTTTTAAGCAGAAACTGTTGAGTTTTTGAAAAGTAAAAGCTTCTTATAGCTAAATTACGTGTAACCATTTACGATTTGCGCCATGTTTCAGAAATCTGACGTATATGGATGTCGAGAAAATAAAGTTTTTGCCAGACTCTTTTAACTAGTCGAAAATCCGTCCGGTATTGTCCCAACGCACCTATATAAATAATGCTTTAGACCAATCGTACATATATTATAATGACAGGTTGGCTCTAAAGATTAACCCCAATAAAAGCAAGGCCATGATTTTAAGTAAAGATTTTCCCTCTAATGGAACAATAATCATCCAATTTCAGTTGTACCTAACCATAAATTCTTGGGTGTTGTCATTGATAACAAACTTTGTTTTGATTTACACATCAATCACATTATAACTAACTCTCTTAAGGGCTTAAATATTATAAGATGTTTAGCTGGTGTGACTTGGGGTGCAGAGTCCAAAGCTTTAAGTATGCTATATAAATCTATAGTCAGAAGCCACTTCGACTACAGTTGTTTAGCCTACACAAATAGTAGTTGTGTAAAAAAACTAGACATAATTCAAAACAAAGCTCTGCGAATTATTACTATAGGGCTATGTGTTCAACTTCCATACGAGCTATGGAAGTTGAAACCAAAATAATGCCACTGTGTCTCAGAGGACTTCTACTAATAGAGAGATACTTATTAAAGCTGTTATCTGGTAATGATAATGTTCTCAAAAAAAATAGTACCCTTTCCTGTACAATCCTCGGCCCAGCAGACTTCGGGAGGTGAGCTTTTTTATCTAGCTTTTTGTTAGCTTTTGCCTCTCATTGTACTACGAATGAATGAAGATTTTAAAAATGTAATTAAACAATCAAAGTGGACATGCTACTCTTACCCATATTCCTGTATTATATTTGAGACCAATATTGTTACTAATTTTTTTTTAATAACTGTGAATTATTAAGTTTTCTTTCCGATAATAACTACTATACTTTGTATACAGATGGTAGCAAAAGTGAGCTCATTGTGCGCAGTGCTGTTTATGATCCCCAATCCAAGATTGGTCAAATTTTTTTTAGGATCCTAAATGCAGTGTTTTCACCGCAGAAGTATATGCGGCCCTCGAGGCCCTGAAGAGGATCGCACATATAAATAGTTTTAATAATTTTTTAATTTTAATATACAGTTTAAGTATGGTCCAAAGTTTAACCAATCTCAGATTTGACTTTAAAAAAACCTTATTTTGTATAATATTAAAAAATTGTTATTTAGTTATACACAAAAGGGTATTTGTAAAGATACAGATCTCTTTCATGTGGATTCCATCACATAGGGGCATAACAGGAAATGCGATAGTAGACAAAATTGCACGTGATGGAAACAACATGTTGGATGTTAGCTCCATAGTAAAAGTACCTTTGACCGACTGTTATCAATCTATTGACAACCAGGTCAATAGCTTATGGGTCGAATTTTGGAAACAAGACCAAGAACAGAAGGTTAATTGGTATGTAAATGTTCAAGCAAATCCGCCTGTAACACCGTGGTATAACAAACTGAAAATGGCCTGTCAGGACTTTATTACGACTATAATAAACAGACTGCGTTTTGGTCACTCCACCGTCCCGGCCCACTTGGCTCGGTTGGGCATAGTGGAGAGCAGCTACTGCACCTACTGCAATAAAGTTGGTGATATCGAACATTTCATATTTAAATGTGAGTGCTTTTCATTTGACAGATTGTTTCTTGTCAGTAAAATTCTTTGAATAAAAATACTCAAGACTTGGCCTAAAGGTATAGATACCAGGCCATAAACTCCAAAACTCGAGTGGCTGTCGACATCAACTGTCAGAAGGGCTAGAACCCAAAGTAGGCATGTCGATTCACTCTTAAAAAAATCGATATCTGAATCGATTTGAATCGAAAGCACTAGAATCGATTATCGATTAAATCGAGGATTAAAAGATCGATTTTCGATTAATCGCGACATTTTCAAACATGAAATTTCAAGAATTTGCAATTTTTTCTTTAATTGAACTTTAATTTTTTTTTTAATAAAATATTAGTAAATATAATAAAATATTATTAATAACTAACATTATTAATATTCCTTTTAACCACTCCTGGTAAGCTTGAAACGCTTGTGTTAGTAGTGGTTTGCACATAAGCCACTCGATCTTTTTTTACAAAGTGATTCCATGTATCACTTTTATTTGACATTTTAATCTAGATACAACAACAATACTTTAACAAAAGTTCAAACTGCAACTAAATCTGTTTCAATCTAATAACTCACTATTTATTTAATTGAAGTGAATGCTACACGAACACAATACTGGTTATTTCTACTATAAACCTCTATAAACTTCAACATATAATATTTATTTACAGTATCTAGGTATTTAAAAAGTACTCCGTCTGCAGTTACAGCTCACAGTATGTATGTTTTTGATAATAAATAAAGTAAATTCACAAGTTAACAGTACAAACAGATTCACAGCTATAATATTATATTGTAGTATGTATATGTAGTCTTTGTTCACAGCACAGATTAAGTTAGACCAACATTCCACGTGTAAGATTAGAATTAGAATTTTAGAAATGAAAATGAAATGACAACTTTTCGATATTGTTGGATGCGTTCATAAATATTTATTTTATTCAAATATATATTGAGTTCAAATTATCAACCAAGTAAAAAAACTGCGGTATCTGACCCAGCCAGTTTGGGAATTTTATCGCTGGTTCTTGAATCAGATGAATCAGTCCGATTCGAGAGGTTTTTGGATCGATTCAGTGAATCGATGCGGTGCTTGGAATCGATCTAAAAGATCGATTATTTTACGCCAAGGAATCGATTTTTCGATTAATCGATTTAAGATCGACATACCTACACCCAAAGCCGTAAAGATAACATAGATAGATAGTGTACCCTTTTGACATAAAAACAAAACGAAACTGTATTCTGATTGGTATTTGGTATTGGTAGAAACTAGAAACATTTAACATTGAAGTAAGGTAAAATCGTAAAAAAAATTGAATTTAGATAATTGATACAAAATATCAATGAAGAGAACTAGGAATGATGCAGTTAAAGCTGCTGTTACTTCCTACTTAGAGCGACGAAATTATCCTGTAAGTACAAAATTGTCGAAAATAAGGTAGTCTAACAATTATAAAAGACCACGTCCATAAATTAAAAATATTGCAGGATATTGAAATATTTAGTAACAATAATTCCACTAGTCGCAGTGCTGAAGAAATGGCTGTAGCTACTATTGTCCAATGTGAGGCAAGTCGTGCAAATTCCATTCTTTTTTCATGCATCAACAACGACCCTGGACAATATGATGTACAGTACTCGAGGTATTTATAAAATTTCATCTAATAACATAACTATAAATATTATATTGATATCTAAACTTTTTATATTTTTAAGGTTGTTTAATTTCATAAAAGAAATTAAATTAGAGAAGGTAAGAAATGAGCTACTTGGGTTATTAACGCCATTATTATGCCACCTTTACTTGGAAATGCTTCGTGGTGGACATGGGGGTGCAGCACAAATGTTTCTCAAAAGACATTCAGCCACTTTACCACAAAAAGATTTGTCTTATCATCAACCAATCGATGGTAATTTACCATCAGCATTGTACAGACCTAACAGTTTAGAACAACTTTTTAATTCACTACAAAATGGAACAATAGATAATGAAACTCCAGAAAAAGATTATATGAATCAGTTATTGGATGATATTGGCACAATATACACTCTGCAAGAAATAGAATCAAGGCCATCAATTGCTGCCTTCAGGTAACACCATCATATGTTTTTATGTTCTATAGTATGCAAGAGGTTGGGTGTACCTGGTTTTCAAGATTGATTTGTTTGAAAATAGTTATGCAATTTCACAATATGCTGAGGTGTATTTCATTTTAAATCACATTATTTTAATATACACTATACATGGTAGAGCGTTGCTGCAGCTATATTATGGTTGAAGTATGAATGGATTGGGGGACCGTGATAGGGCCATGCTCTCACAGAATACTATTGTGAAAAATCAACTTATGCTGCTGTGTTTTGTGTGGTGAGTATAGAGAACCGGAGACCCATTCTGCTTGAATTAAGGTATTGCATCTTAGTCCTCAAGGATGACAATGCATCTGCATTTTTAGTTTTAACCAGGGAAGATGGTAGATGTCAATGGACCACAAGATCCACTTACCATCAGGTGGACTTTGTGCTTGTTTGTCACTTATCCTATTTAAAAAAAAAACGGTTTTAAAATATGTTGTTTTATATTTATGGAATTTTGAATTTTCAAATCTTTTAAATAATGTTGTTGTATAATTCACCTACAGATCGTGTAAATATGATATTTACTTATCACAAGACTCCTTAAATACATTAAAAGCTTATTTAGCCAAACACGGACATGTATTATTAATTCAAGTTCTACAAACATGGTTTCACATTGATATTAATAATGACTCAAATAAAAAGAATGCTGTAAGTATAAGATACTTCTAAAATGTGTTTAACATGTGAAAGAAAATAATTATATATTAATTCTATGTTTTTATAGGAAGATGATGAAGAGCAAAATGAAGATGTAAATGCACCAGTAACAAACAGTGATGAAAAGGCATCAGACAAAAATGGTAGGCGGTACAAAATTATATGTTAAATGAAAAGAGCACTTATGAAGTGGCCACCTATTAACATTGTACTGTCAAGTAAAAGCAAATTTTAAATAAAAAGGTTTAATTTTTGCATGTAGCAGTATAAAAGGTTTGTTAAGTATTGGTGGACTGTAATAACAGATATAATTGCAATGTATCTTTATTATTTATGAAAATCTCTTCTCTTTGTTATTATTTTTATAAGTGAAAGCCTTGTTATAAAAAATCCTGTGACATCATTGAACTAAAACTGACATTTCTGTTCTAACATTTTATATCAGACAATCAGTAGCCCACAATCATATTATACAAAAAATTGTACTAACACATTGACATTAAGAAAGAAAAATTGAATAACAAATTAATACAGCTATTCAGCTGGTACTTAGCTATTGGAGTGTGCCTTGTGACATTTTATTATGTCCTGTGGAAATTGCAATCATGATCAAAATTGAGTAAACATTTTTTTCATTGTATAGTATAAGGTTAGCTGCCCTGCTTTCAACATATTTACAAAGTACACAAATAAAGTTAAAAAGTGGTGAAATTAAAAATTAAGTACATCTTACTTGAATAAAAATAAAATGAGAGCATCAATGTAGTCCAAGTTAATGAAATACTAATTATCAAGGATTATTCTTAAATAAGAATCACTCAAAAACTACTAGTCAGATTTTTATCAAATTTATATGGGAACCGCATGAGAAGCATCAGCTTTCAAATAAAAAACATTAAAAAAAATACAGTTGAATTAAGTACCTCCTCCTTTTTTTGAAGTCCTGTTAAAAATAATCACTATTTGCTTCTTACTTGCACTTTGTTATACTTAATTTTTGACTAACATATTTATCATTTGGTTTAGATATATTTTCAAAATGCAATGGTCATGCTGAATATCAAAATGTTGATAAGGAATTAAGAGAACTGCAAGAGGCAATAAAAGGAGTTCGTGAATCTATGGCACCACTTAAATTATATAAGATAGTTGCTCCTGATACTCAGTAAGTTTATTTATTCATTTTTATATAATTTTCAAAACTTGAGGTATTGAAACCCCTTGTAGTGGTAGTGTAAGAGAATCTACTACCCCGACGGGCGACAGAAGAAAGAAGAAACAGGAGATTGACAGCAGCATCTTACTGATGACAACTGAATGAAAGAACTGCAGTTGTTTACCCATCTGCCTATGCAAAAATGGCAACTATAGCAAATATCTCCCTTATGAGGCAATCTTTTAAGAGGCCAATGTTCATTGTATTGGTTAATTAGTTGGTGGTATTGAAATTGTTAATTGCAATTTTAAGTGCTGATTTACCACATGCTCAGCAGTGAAGGAAAACATCGTAAAGAAACCTGCATGTCTGAGGAATAAGAAAAAAAAATATTTCGAAGACATGCCCTAAAACCCTCGCAGAAATGAGAGGGGGGGGCCTGTGCCCAGCAGTGGGACGTATGTAGGCTGTAACTTTACTTTTTTTATTGAAATTTCAAAAAGATGTCAAATAAATTCAAAATAGACTTCAAGTTTTTTTGAAATCCTGGATTAAAATACCAGTTGTATTTAAAATCTGTGCAAAATTACAAACTGTTGGGTCTGGTTATGATGTGATTTTCGTCATGTCTCTAGATAGTTCTTCTGGCTTACTTCCAGTATTATTACAGAATAGTGAATTAGACATGGGTTAGTGAAGTTGCATAAGAGTTAGCTTACATATCAAATATATGAGTAGATTCCAACAGTGTTCCAAAATTGTTGATGTGAGTGAAATCAGCCTGGAGGACTTTAATATCATAATAATTTGAACATTTATCTTTTATTTCATTAGATGCAAAAAAAATATTATTGGGTTGAGTGTTGGGCTGCAATTTGATACGCACCTTAAGTCTATTTGTATCACATATTGATTTTTTGGTCTGATGTATATCCATGTGTAATTTATTTTTTAAACATCTCCAAGACACGTGAGAAGATTTCACCATGGAGGAATGTCTAATATTAAAATAAAATAAAAAACTTTCTGTAGCTGAAATGTAAGTGTTACATAAACTAAACGATTAGATTATTGAGATGAGTGAGAATCTCTGGTATTTTGTGCAACTCGAAGCATGGGATTTCAAATCAGGAATTATTAGCCGCGCGCAAAAAGTTTGCCGATGGTCGGGACGCGGTCGCTTAGTACCGTTAACAACGCAGTCGTGCGCTCACGTGCTCATTGCTCGTAAATTATTATTTTCTAGTTACGTCTTTGTTTGTGTCATGTCAGTGTTATTTTTTCATTAAAATGGGTAAAGGGAAAAGCTCGCGGTGGCGAACGTGTTATTATTTTAAAGGTTCTAAAGTTTATCGAGAAGGAAAAATAAAAAAGTTGCTTATAATAAATCTTAGTATCAACTTCAACGTTTTTTTGTTAATAATTTTTCCCTTATTGATGTATTGCATTTGCAACCATTATTTTAGTAACATGTATTTTTGTCAACCGTACTAACCATAGACACGTGACGTCATGGGCAAACTTTCTGCACGCGGTTAATACTAAAGTTGTATAAATATGACTTGAGTTCTTGATACTAATCGTTTTTACCCAACAAAAATTAAAAAGTGTTTTTTATTTTCTGTCTATATATTGTTGCAGCCTCGTATGTGCTAAAACAGACTTTAACTGTAATGTGCTATGTGGAGGATTTAGTAATTCAGAGATACGACTTTGGGACCTCGGACAGAACAATGTAAAACGAAAAATCAACCGTAATATCTCTGAAATAGGAATAGCATGCTATGTGCCACCTGAACCGGAAACACCTGCAGATACTTACTTGTAATATATAACTTTTATTGTTTTCATTTTTTGGCCTATCAGTATTATATTTTATCATAAAAACGTATTTTTTGATCTATTAACCATATTACTTATACATAATTTTGTTGATAATTAACAGAGTATGTAATTGAAATTTATCACTAAATTTATCTAAAGGTTGTAACAATTTCTTATGAGTTTCTAAATATACAATGAGTAATTGAGGATATTTTACTGTAAGCAATATAATATCTAGGTTTTTTACATATTATCTTTATATTTATGATTTATGAGTCTCAGAATATCAGGTTTCATATTGCAAATAATATTTCAGTCAAATAGGTACTGGCCTGCCACTACGAGGTCATTCAGGTCCTGTGCAAGCAGTCAGCATTTTATCACGGGAACAACTTGTATTGTCTGCTTCTCATGATAATACTATGAGAGCTTGGAGGCTATCGGATTATTCATGTGCCTCCATATACAGGTCAAATACATAAAGCATTTGTTTCGTAATATAATATATAATAGAAACATTCTAATTTTATTTTATATGTAAATGTGTTTCAGAGGTCATAATTACCCAATTTGGTGTATGGATGTTTCCAAAAATGGTCTATTTATTGTGACCGGTTCGCATGACAAAACAGCAAAATTATGGTCCCTTGATAGAACATTCCCAATACGGGTTTTCGTGGGGCACATGTCTGATGTCACGGTGAGCTATATTTTAAGTCATGCTAGCAAAATGTACATTAGCATACTGCTATTCTAATCACCTGTTTTTGTGTCATTATGGAGCTCCATAAATCCGGTCCTTATTTAGTAATTCTGGAGAAAAAAAAAAACACGCTAGAGAGCAGTGTGCTTTTAAAATTTTATGCGCCATTTTAAAGCAATGCATGTTATAAAAAAAATTTAATATTATTTTATACAGTCTAAAATCATTCATAATTTCATCCATTAATTCATTCCAGTGATTTTGATTTTGTAAGACGTTGTGCTATAGGTTGCACTTGGAAATCGCAGTTTTTTTTAATTATTTTCGGGAGTGGATGCTCTTACGCTGTCACTACCTGCTACGTCACGAGTCCCGGGTTTGAATCGAATCCAACACTTGTGCAGTAACGCAAATTTTTGGTTTAGCTACTGTGTCTGTCCCCATGTCTCTCTGCTGCCTAACCTACCTCCGATCTTAACGAGTAAATGTTACATCGGGCGCGGGTAGTTAAAAGTACTGCAATGCTTACGCGTCACCTTATGCTAGTTGTACAAGCTTAATCCGAGTTCGCCGGTGGTAGAAAAAGTAATGCGATAGCAGTATTTATTCAATTTGTGTGATTATTTAATGTAATTGACTATATATATAATTCAGCATAAGTCTAATTTTTTTAGGTCGTCTTTTACAATACAAGCTATACAACTTTGGAACACCCTCCCCAATGATATTAAGAATGCCAAAAATAGTCAGTTCTTCTCCTAGGACATTACCTGAAGGAAACTACTAATTTATTTTATTTTTCCTTAATTCTTGTCTTTCTTTTCTTCTTTTTTTACTTCAAATATTTATTTCATTATATATTATTCAAACATTATATTATATATCATTCATTTGGATATTTATTTACGAAGTTTATAAGCATGTATATATTATATATATATATGTACGTATGTATTATTGTACGTATATTTATACTATATGTGTGTATATTTAAATGTATTGTGTATATACGTACTTTGTATATATGTATATTTTAATGTATATGTATGTATGTTCACTTATTTATGTATAATGGTCGCACCAACAATTGTCCTTGGCACTCAGGGTTGACTGGCAGAGAATGCCACATGGCATTAAGTCCGCCCTACGTACCCCTTAGCTTAAGGTGTTGCATGTTGCGAAATAAGACACTCTTAATTGTTCCACGTTTATTGCGAGACTGCCATTGCCCGAACTCGTCTTACAATAGTTTTTCGAGTCTACCCTATATCTAAAGCTAAACATATGAGATACTAACTACAAACAATATACCACACCTCCACCCTTAATACAATATAAATGTCTTAAATAATAAACTTAACTAACTTTTATATAAAACTATTTTAATCTTAAACATTTATTTCATGACAGAGATTCCCGTAACACGAGATAACCAAATTATATATATAAAATAAATCACTATGTTAATGAAGGAAACCGTACTGGCGGATGTCTGTTTCTTACAGGGTAACGGCGGTTTAATTCGGGCTCAAAACATGGTGGTCGTATAGCATTATTAATATCAGGCGACGCCATGCCACGCTGTGCTCCCGCCGCACCCGCCATCGTGCCGGCCAACGCCGCCGGACCTTCCCCTGGGTTATTAGTATTACTAGTTACGTTGATTAGAAACGGATTTAATGATTTCTTAAATTTACGCGAACACTACACATTGAATAAAACTAAATTTACGGATTTTATCGCGTTTATTTTACTACTTTTACTTTCTTTTAATTCCCGACGTTTCGGGTGCTTTACAGCAACCATGGTCACGGGGGGGGGGGACTGAGATGTTTGACGTCCCAATGTCATAGTTAGTCCGGCTACCTTCAGTTTTTGAATATTAATTTTTGGTCCGATTTACGCAAAACGTGCTTATAGTATCATGAAGTCTTGCAGTGGTGTGCTTAGGTTTGGGTTTAATTTTGTTAATTATAGGATCCCAAGCAGGTGGCAGCACCCATCCATCTTCTCTATTGAAATTTGGATGTTTTTTAATTTCAATAGCCTCGCGTATCATCCTTGGTAGGAATCGGTGTTCTTTTGCGAGAATGTGGTTTATCAAAACGAATTTAATGGTGGGGACGATCTTGAACATGTTCGCAGACTGCAGACTTCCCGGAGCGTCGGAAGTCTGCAGTCTGCGAACATGTTCAAGATAGTATTGATTCAATTTGTGTGATTATTTAATGTAATTGACTATATATATATATATAATTCAGCATAAGTCTAATTTTTTTAGGTCGTCTTTTACAATACAAGCTATACAACTTTGAAACACCCTCCCCAATGATATTAAGAATGCCAAAAATAAAAAAGTTTCAAAGTTCTTCTCCGAGAACATTACCTGAAGGAAACCACTAATTGATTTTATTTTTCCTTAATTTTTGTCTTTCTTTTCTTCTTTTTTTACTTCAAATATTTATTTCATTATATATTATTCAAACATTATATTATAATATCATTCATTTGGATATTTATTTACGAAGTTTATAAGCGTGTATATATTATATATATGTATGTATGTATGTATTATTGTACGTATATCTATACTATATGTGCAGACTTCCCGGACGGAAGTCTGCAGTCTGCGAACATGTTCAAGATCGTCCCCACCATTACATTCGTTTTGATAAACCACAAATTCTCGCAAAAGAACACCGATTCCTACCAAGGATGATACGCGAGGCTATTGAAATTAAAAAACATCCAAATTTCAATAGAGAAGATGGATGGGTGCTGCCACCTGCTTGGGATCCTATAATTAACAAAATTAAACCCAAACCTAAGCATACCACTGCAAGACTTCATGATACTATAAGCTCGTTTTGCGTAAATCGGACCAAAAATTAATATTCAATAACTGAAGGTAGCCAGACTAACTATGACATTGGGACGTCAAACATCTCAGTCCCCCCCCCCGTGACCATGGTTGCTGTAAAGCACCCGAAACGTCGGGAATTAAAAGAAAGTAAAAGTAGTAAAATAAACGCGATAAAATCCGTAAATTTAGTTTTATTCAATGTGTAGTGTTCGCGTAAATTTAAGAAATCATTAAATCCGTTTCTAATCAGCGTAACTAGTAATACTAATAACCCAGGGGAAGGTCCGGCGGCGTTGGCCGGCACGATGGCGGGTGCGGCGGGAGCACAGCGTGGCATGGCATCGCCTGATATTAATAATGCTATACAACCACAATGTTTTGAGCCCGAATTAAACCGCCGTTACCCTGTAAGAAACAGACATCCGCCAGTACGGTTTCCTTCATTAACATAGTGATTTATTTTATATATATAATTTGGTTATCTCGTGTTACGGGAATCTCTATGTCATAGAATAAATGTTTAAGATTAAAATAGTTTTATATAAAAGTTAGTTAAGTTTATTATTTAAGACATTTATATTGTATTAAGGGTGGAGGTGTGGTATATTCTTTGTAGTTAGTATGTCATATGTTTAGCTTTAGATATAGGGTAGACTCGAAAAACTATTGTAAGACGAGTTCGGGCAATGGCAGTCTCGCAATAAACGTGGAACAATTAAGAGTGTCTTATTTCGCATCATGCAACACCTTAAGCTAAGGGGTACGTAGGGTGGACTTAATGCCATGTGGCATTCTCTGCCAGTCAACCCTGAGTGCCAAGAACAATTGTTGGTGCGACCATTATACATAAATAAGTGAACATACATACATATACATTAAAATATACATATATACAAAGTACGTATATACACAATACATTTAAATATACACACATATAGTATAGATATACGTACAATAATACATACATACATACATATATATAATATATATACGCTTATAAACTTCGTAAATAAATATCCAAATGAATGATATGTAATATAATGTTTGAATAATATATAATGAAATAAATATTTTAAGTAAAAAAAGAAGAAAAGAAAGACAAAAATTAAGGAAAAATAAAATCAATTAGTAGTTTCCTTCAGGTAATGTTCTCGGAGAAGAACTTTGAAACTTTTTTATTTTTGGCATTCTTAATATCATTGGGGAGGGTGTTCCAAAGTTGTATAGCTTGTATTGTAAAAGACGACCTAAAAAAATTAGACTTATGCTGAATTATATATATAGTCAATTACATTAAATAATCACACAAATTGAATCAATACGATCTTGAACATGTTCGCAGACTGCAGACTTCCCCGGGAAGTCTGCAGTCTGCGAACATGTTCAAGATCGTCCCCACCATTACATTCGTTTTGATAAACCACATTCTCGCAAAAGAACACCGATTCCTACCAAGGATGATACGCGAGGCTATTGAAATTAAAAAACATCCAAATTTCAATAGAGAAGATGGATGGGTGCTGGCACCTGCTTGGGATCCTATAATTAACAAAATTAAACCCAAACCTAAGCACACCACTGCAAGACTTCATGATACTATAAGCTCGTTTTGCGTAAATCGGACCAAAAATTAATATTCAAAAATTGAAGGTAGCCGGACTAACTATGACATTGGGACGTCAAACATCTCAGTCCCCCCCGTGACCATGCTGTAAAGCACCCGAAACGTCGGGAATTAAAAATAAGTAAAAGTAGTGAAATAAACGCGATAAAATCCGTAAATTTAGTTTTATTCAATAGAAACGGATTTATTAAATTACGCCTGGATGACCCTTTAATCGTGATCGGTTCTTGCAAAGGAAAATTAAATCTGTGTCTTAGCTGGTCTGCGTGTCGGTGATGTGAACTTCCATCGATGCCCAAAATTTCATAGTCAGTGCTACCTAGCCGCAACTGAACTTTTCCGTCCAACTATTTCTTACCCGTGCCGTAGTTACGGTATAAAATCTCATCCCCCTCGTTAAAACACCGCTGTGTTCCGCACGCCAGCAGTTGGCAGCAGGCGGGTGCTGCCAACTGCTGGCGTCTTTGCGCTGCATTAACGCGATCTGCGCGCTCCGGTTTTAAACAATCGAGTCGCATCCGCAACGAACGGCCTTGTAATAATTTTGCCGGACTTTCTCCTGTAGTGCAATGTTCGGTATTTCTGTAAACTAATAGAAATCTAAGGAGAGCCGTGTCTACGTCTAAATTCTAAGAAAGGGCTTCCTTTACAACATTTTACAGGTTTTAACTGCATTTTCGGCCGCTCCGTTGGACGAAGGATGATATGGAGCAGAAAACGTGTGTTGTATTCCATTGTTCTCCAAAAACTGTTTAAATTCTTAACTTGTGAAAGGTGGACCGTTATCCGAAACTAATTGTTTTGGTAAACCGAACCGAGACCATATTTCTCTTAGCGCTTTTATCACCGTTTTAGCGTTGGTAGAAGACATTTTTATTACCTCCATCCATTTAGTGCACGTGTCAATTAGAACTAAGTACGTGTTCCCTGCGATTGGGCCGAAAAAATCTATGTGTAAACGGGACCAAGGACGATCTGGCCAAGGCCACGAGCGAATCGCATGGGCAGGAGGCGCGTCCGCCACCTCTAAGCACACCTGACACGACCGACATAACTTCTCTATATCTTCATCTATTCCCGGCCACCATACGTAACTGCGCGCTAACCCTTTTGTTTTAACCATGCCCATGTGCGAGTCGTGCTACTCTTTTAAAACTTTAGACCTACAGACGCTCGGGATCACAACACGATGGCCCCACATTACGCAATCAGGTTCCGTATATAGTTCGTTTTTTCTGTTATAATATGGTTTTAATTCTTTAATATCCAATTCTCCTGGCCAGCCGTCTCTTATATAACTAATAACTCTGCTTAAAATAGGATCATGTACAGTTTATTTTTTTAGTATGTTATAGTCTAAGAGTAACGCTTCCGTCGCGAATTGCAAATACGTTTGCTCCGGTTCGTCGCTTTGTTCGCAAGAACCAGTTTCTTTATAAGTTTTTATCATACGAGATAACGCGTCGGCCGTATTACGTTCGGTACTTATAAATTCAATCTTAAAATTATACGAAGATACAATTAATGCCCAGCGCTGTAGTCTACTAGCCGTCATATTAGGAATACTATGTCCGGGATCGAAAATACTCACTAAGGGCTTGTGATCCGTTCTAAGTACAAATTCTCGCCCATATAAATATTGATGGATTTTTTTTAATGCGAAAACATTCGCCAAAGCCTCTTTTTCTATTTGGCTGTAATTTATTTCTGCGGGCGTGAGAGCTCGCGAAGCGTACGCGACTGGGCGCTCGCGGCCGGCCCGTTGCTGCGCCAGCACTGCTCCTACCCCGCGCGAGCTGGCGTCGCACGTCACCACCACTGGCAGCCGCGTGTCATAATGATCTAACACCTCAGCTTTACTTAATAATAATTTCATATTCTGAAACGCTTGCTTTTGCTCTTTCCCCCCAAAACCAATGCCTACCTTTTTTTAAAAGTGTGTAAAATGGATTCAGGTAAAAACTTAAATTCTTTATAAATCTACAATAAAAATTAACCATTCCTAAAAATGACCGCAATTCGGATGCGTCATTAGGTTCACGTAATTAAATGGCTATCTTTTCGTATCAACTTTTATACCGTCTTTGTTTACAATGTAACCGAGATATTTTACTTCGTTCGCAAAAAATACGCACTTTTGTTTCTTAATTTTAAACCCGTTTTGGCTTAACCTTAACAGTACCTTACGCAATGTATCCAGGTGATCTTTTTCAGATACACTATAAATCAAAATATCGTCTAAGAACACCACTGTGTTAGATATATCCTTCAAAAGATTTATCATAATTCTTTGAAAAATACCGGGACTGGAAGCCAAACCGTAAACTAGACGATTGTACATATAAAGCCCCCTATGTGTATTTATTACCGTGTACTTTTTTGACCCATCTAATTCTATTTGGTTGTATTTTTTTTTTTTTTGTGGTCTTGGTCGGTGTGGGGGGGCCTGGGACAAGTCTAACTTACTGAACCAATTACAACCGCTAAGATTCGATAGTAAATCTTCAATTTTGGGAACCGGAAATTTATCCACCAGTAAGACACGCTTTAATGTTACCTTATAATCTGCGCAAATACGAAGCGACCCGTCCGGTTTATTTACTAATACCAAAGGTGAGGCCCAATAGGAGGCGTCAACCGGCTCGATGACTCCGGCCTGCAGCATGGCGTCCAGCTCGGCCTCGCCCCGCTCGCGCATCGCGTACGGTACCGGCCGCGCGCGACAGAACACCGGCGTGGCGTAGGCCCGGACGCGCAGCGTTGCTTGCCCACCGCTAAACCGCCCCATACCGCCATCGAATAAGTGTTTAAATATGTCGAATAACATGTTTAAACTTTCCATTTTATCATAGTTTTGTGTACAACTTATTCTATTTACATGAAATTTTGGGATATCAATCCCCAATTCACTGTTTTTTTCTAGCTTTTCTAATGCCGTTTTTTTCAGGCCCCGCTAAGGTGCGCTAGCATGACGCACGGAGCCTTGCCAGTGCTGCACGCCGGAGCCAGTGCCTCTGCCGTGCACTGAACCGCGAATGCCAGTTGATCCCGTACTCGAGGTCCACACGCGCCTGTTGGTACTTTTATTTTGATGTCTCTCACCGAACGAGCACACCCGTTTTAAATGTTGAATTTTGCCACAAATATCACATTTGTAGTTACGATACGGACATTGACGCCAAATATGGCGGGAACTGCCACACGTTGTACAGGGACTCATTTGCACCCTATTCACTTCGGTCACTTGATAGTCTGCCGTGCTCATCCTTTGTCGCTCCTGTTTTACTACCCTTGTTAAATTTTCGTTCGCAATGGCGATACCAGAGGTGCTCGCGCCGCGGACCGTGCAATCTACCACTGATGAGTCACGCTGGGCTGCTTCCATTGACGTAGCTAATTTCACTGCGCCCGTCCAAGTTAAAGAATCGTCAGCAAAAAGTCGTTGACGCATCATATCACTGCGTAGACCGCACACAAATTGATCTCTCATATTTTCTTCCAAAGTGTCTTTGAATTCGCAAGATTTTGCCAAACGTTTTAAATCTGTTACAAACTGAGATACTGTTTCGTTTTCACTCTGCCTACGTTGGCGAAACTTATAGCGCTCTGCTAGAATTGACGCTTTTGGTTGCAAATAATCGCTCATTATTCTTACAACATCGTCGTATTTCATTTTAGCGGGTTTAATTGGGCTGCACAGGTTAGTCATCAGTTCATATCCACTTTCGCCAACCACAGATATCAACGTAGGTAACTTTAATTCTTCCTTGACGCCGTTAACCAAAAAAAAAATACATTTTCAACCTTTCACATATGAACTCCAATTGCCATTTGAAACATCGAATTCTCCGATTCTACCCATGTTTGCCATATTTTATTATGATAAAATTCCTCGTCGCCACTGCGAAATAAGACACTCTTAATTGTTCCACGTTTATTGCGAGACTGCCACCGCCCGAACTCGTCTTACAATCGTTTTTCGAGTCTACCCTATATCTAAAGCTAAACATATGAGATACTAACTACAAACAATATACCACACATGTAAGCTTTTAAATATATATTTATTTATTTATTTATTATAATAAATCTATATATTTCCTGATGTTCATGGCGTTGTAGACGACAAACCTTAGAGGTTTTTAACAATGTTATGGAAGTGTTTTTTGAATTAAACCTGTTGTAAGAAATAGATAAAAAATTGTTTGGTCAGTGTGTGAAGTTCCACCCCAACGAGGCGTACATAGCGACGGGCGGCGCGGACCGCAGCGTGCGGCTGTGGGGCGTGTGCGACGCGCGGCTCGTGCGCGTGCTGTGCGGACACCGCGCCGCCGTCAGGGCGCTCGCCTTCGCGCCCTCCGGCTCCTACTTGGCCAGTGCTGGTAATCAACATTTACCTATGGATAAATAATTTAAAAAATGTAATTTTTTTGGCGGGTATTCGCCCGTAAGTGGATTGCTGTTTTTTATTATTCCATGCTAGGTGATTGTATTAGGTTTTAACATAAATCTTGCGATTTCCGATTTATTACTAGCATAGAGAAAATTCTAAAATAAGAACAAAATTCTTGCCGTTGAACTCAGTGGCGTAGCGTGCCTTAGACGGGCCCTGTATCAAGATTTGTTGCCGGACCCAAATGAAAGGCCCAAAACCGCTCGCATGAATTAAAATAATTATAATATATTGATTATAAGTTAATAACCTACTATTAATACTCCTAGGAACTAAGCTAGCCTAAGAGTTCAAGTCAAATATACACTTTTCTTGTCTTGTTCGTCGAACTTAATAGGTTGAGGAAAACTTTTTTTCGTATTTTATATACACATCTTTTTTTTTTCAAAATTTTATTACATTTATTTATGACATATATTCAACGCAAAACTAGGCATTAGAGAAAGCGGTGAGCTGAAATTAGGGAAATTTGGAGTAGGGCAACGGAACCCTAGGGGCCAGCAGCAGGCCGGCTTTATGGAAAAAGAGGGACTCTTTATGATGAACTCTTTCTTCCAGAAGCAGCCCCACAGGAAGTGGACCTGGTCGAGCCCCGACGGTTCGACAAAAAATGAGATTGACTTCATTATGACGACCAGACGCCAACTGTTCAGTGATGTCTCAGTGATCGCAAGGGTGAAAACTGGCAGTGATCACCGAATGGTTCAATACTGCTCGTATTGAAGAAGCGATTGAACGGAACCAGGGCTCCAAAGTCATTGCCAGAGATCTGTCTGCCAGTAAGAGCCAACTGTCAAAGCTGAAGACTGAGTGGCAGCATCGTTTCCGGGACACCTGAGATTCTGAGTGAGATTGAGAAGTTCTATGGGCAGCTGTACACATCATCGTTGGAGTCACACGCAAGTGTGAGTAACGATCCAAGAGCAAGTCTTATCCGACACTATTCCGATGATATCCCGGACGTCAGTCTGAGCGAGAATAGAATGGCTCTCCAGCACCTTAAAAACGGCAGTTCCCCGGGCGAGGATGGAATTACAGCAGAGCTTCTGAAAGCGGGTGGAAAACCGGTACTTGAAGTCCTTCAGAGGCTTTTTGATTCCGTCCTCCATGGTGGCACTACTCCGGCGGCGTGGAGCAGAAGTGCGGTGGTCTTGTTCTTCAAGAATGGTGACAACGCCCTCTTGAAGAACTACGGACCGATATCCCTTTTGAGCCGCGTCTACGTGCTGTTTTCGAGAGTCATTACGAATCGTCTCGCACGCAGACTCGACGACTTCCAGCCTCCCGAACACGCCGGATTCGAAAAGGATTCAGTACCGTAGACCACATACATACCCTGCGGCAGATTGTACAGAAGACCGAAGAGTACAATCTGCCACTTTGCCTGGCGTATGTGGACTATGAGAAAGCCTTTGATTCCGTCGAAATTTGGGCGGTGCTACAGTCCCTTCAGCGGTGCCAAGTTGACTGTCGGTATATCGAAGTGCTGAAGTGTTTGTACAGCAGGGCTACGATGGCTATCCGAGTACAGAACCAGAGTTCGAAACCTATTCAACAGCAGAGAGGTGTAAGACAGGGTGACGTTATATCCCCGAAACTCTTCACCGCTGCATTGGAAGACGTTTTCAAGCTACTGGAGTGGAAAGGATACGGTATTAACATAATGGGCTCACCTTCTATTTGCCGACGATATAGTCCTTATGGCAGAATCGCTGGAGGACCTAAACACTATGCTCAATGACCTCAATGGTGTCTCCCAACGGATAGGTCTTAAGATGAACATGGACAAAACAAAGATCATGTTTAATGTCATGTCACACCTATGCCGGTAGTTGTTGGGAGCACTATGCTCGAAGTTGTTGACGAGTACGTTTACCTGGGACAAATAGTCCGACTAGGTAAGTTCAACTTCGACCAAGAGGTTAATCGACGGATTCAACTCGGCTGAGCAGCGTTTGGGAAATTATGATACATCTTCTCGTCAGGTATACCTCAATCTCTGAAAACTAAATTGTACAACCAGTGCGTGTTGCCGTGATTACTTACGGATCTGAGACGTGGTCCTTCACTGCTGGCCGTATCAGGACGCTGAAGGTCGCTCAGCGAGCTATGGAGAGGGCTATGCTCGGAGTTTCTCTGCGTGATAAACTTAGAAATGATGATATCCGCAGTAGAACCAGTGACCGACATAGCCCAACGGATTAGTGAGCTGAAGTGGCAATGGGCCGGCCATATAGCTCGAAGAACCGACAACCGTTGGGGAAGAAGGGTTCTCGAGTGGCAGCCTCGTACCGGTAGGTGAAGTGTAGGGTGACCCCCCACTAGATGGAGTGACGATCTGGTAAGACGTGCGGGAAGTCGATGGATGCAGGTGGCTCAGGACCGTGCTTTGTGGCATACCTTTGGGGGAGGCGTATGTTCAGCAGTGGACTTGTGAAAGGCTGTAATATATATATATATATATATATATATATATATATATATATATATATATATATATATTTTATAGAAAAGAGGGGGCAAACGAGCATGTGGCTCACCTGATGTTAAGTGACTACCGCCGCCCATGATCAACCGCAACACCAGGGGAATTGCAGGTGCGTTGCCGGCCCTTTAGAAAGGAGTAAGCTCTTTTCTTGAAGGTCCCCAGGTCGTATCGGTCTGGAAAAATCACCGGTGGTAAATTATTCCACAGAGAGGTTGTACGCGGAAGAAAACTCCTTTTGAAACGTACAGTGGTGGACCGCCAAGTATCCAGATGGTGTGGATGGTATCGGGACGTTTGCCGTGTAGTGCGTTCACGAAATTTGGCGGCTGGGATTAATCCGAACAATTCCTCAGAGCACTCCCCCGTGATAGATGCGATAAAATACGCAAAGAGATGCAACATCTCTTCGCAGCGCCAGTGAATCGAGCCGATCGGAAAGCACTCGGTCGTCGACGATTCGAGCCGCTCTGCGCTGGATGCGGTCAAGTGGAAGGAGCTGGTACTGGGGAGCCCCAGCCCAGAGATGGGAACAGTATTCCATGAGCGGCCGAACCTGCGCCTTGTAAAGTTGCAGGCGGTGTGCCGGCATGAAATACTGTCCCGCTCTGCTGAGCACGCCAAGCTTTTTAGAGACCAATTTGGCCTTCCCTTCCAAGTGACCACGAAACTGCACGTCACTCGATATGTCGACGCCGAGGATTCCGATACTGGCTGAGGCAACAAGGGGAGTGCCTTGAAACTGAGGGGATACGACAAAGGGGTTCTTTTTAGCGGTTAACGCGCAAACTTGTGTCTTCTGGGGGTTAAACTGGACTAGATTTAGTCGCCCCCAATCCGAGACTCTGTCCAGCAGAGACTCGACTTCAGACACAAGTTTGTCCCGGCACTCAGAGACGTTTTCCCGAGAAATATTGGCTCGGCCGGTGTAAAGAGCATCACCAGTGCTGTCATCTGCATAGCAATGAATGCTACGGGTTTGCAACATATCATTGATATGCAGAAGAAACAGCGTTGGCGATAGCACGCAGCCCTGTGGAACACGAGCATTACTAAGCTTGCAATCGGAGCTTGCACCGTCTACAACGACCTTGATGCTCCGATCTGCAAGAAAACTGGTGATCCAATCGCACAATTTCTCGGGAAGCCCATAGGAAGGGAGCTTCGAAAGAAGCGCTTTGTGCCAAACCCGATCGAAGGCCTTCGCAATGTCCAAACTAACGGCCAATGCCTCCCCCTTGGACTCTACTGCCTCCGCCCATCTGTGAGTTAGGTATACCAGAAGATCACCAGCTGACCTACCACGGCGAAAACCGTATTGGCGATCACTAATCAGCTGGTGATCCTCAAGGTACCTCATGAGCTGGCAGTTTACAATGGACTCCATTGTTTTGGAGAACAAGGAGGTGATGGCGATAGGCCGGTAGTTGGACGGGTCTGAGCGGTCGCCTTTTTTAGGGATCGGGTGGACGAAAGCCGTCTTCCATGATTTTGGGACTACGCCTAGGGAGTAGGAGTACCGGAAAAGACGCGTTAAAACCGGTGCCAACTCTGGAGCACAAGTCCTCAGCACAATTGGGGGGATTCCATCAGGCCCACTCGACTTATGGATGTCCAGGGAGATGGAGTGCTTTGCGAACCGAGCGCTGAGTGAACTGCACTTCCGCCATGGAGCACTCACACCGCGGGATGGTCGGCGGCGTACTCCCCCCGTCATCGAGAGTCGAGTTAGACGCAAAGAAAGAGCCTAGAAGATCGGCTTTCTCCTTTGCGGTGTGGGCCAGTGAGTCGTCTTCCCTGTGCAGAGATGGAAGAGATGGCTGACAGAAATTCCCCTGGACAGCCTTGGCGAGAGACCAGAATGCACGGGTTCCAGAAGGAAGACGAACTAGTCTCTCGCCAATTCTGCCTATGTGCTCTGACTTTGCCTTGGCAATGACTCTTTTGAAGGACCTAGAGGCGGAATTATACTTCTTTTTTAGAGCGCTGGTGTTTACATCCCTGGACGCTGATGCGTCAGCCCAGGCTCGGTAGCACTCCTGCTTATAGCATGATGCTATTTTACAGGAGCGACCAAACCATGGCTGAGATTTGCCCCCAATGGGCACCACAGAGGAAGGAATAAAAAGTTCCATACCCTGAAGTACCACATTAGCGACAGAATCCGCAACAACGTTGGGATCGTCCGGCGAGAAGCAAACCCGCCCCCAAGGGTAGGATGCAAAGAAAGACCGCATCCCATCCCAATCGGCTGACCTATAGTGCCAAACACGGCGGCAGCCTGCAGAATGCAACCGCGATTTCAGCGTGAGTGGCACCACACTCCGGACAAGACAATGGTCCGAGGAGCCTATAGGGGCGTCGACGGAAATCTGATATCCGTCCGGGTGAGAGGTCAGCAGAAGGTCCAACAGGGAAGGTGCATGATCCTCCACATCTGGAATCCGCGTAGGCGAAGTAACCAGTTGTGTCAGACCATATGCCAAGGCAAAATCATGAACAGATCTCCCCGCATGATCAGTTAAACATGAACCGAGCTATTCGGCGTGATGGGCGTTAAAGTCGCCGAGAATCACGATCTCTGCGGAGGGGATCTGCTGTAGCAACGAATCTGCAGCCATTTGGACGTGGTCGAAGAGTCGGTCTGTTTCGGCATTACCGCTATGGGACCTATAGAGGCACCCGTAGACGCGCGGATGGTCGTCGCTGTCTACGCGTAGCCAAAGGATGGACAGGTCCGAACCTTCAAGTCTGCCGAGGCGTCGAGAACAGATGTCCTCTCTGACGTAAACGTAAACTCCTTATATATTACATTAAATAGTCACGCAAATTGAATCAATACTGCCATTTTGTTCGATAACTTGTAGACGTCTTGTAGGTAGATGACATAATCCCGTTACTGTAGAAATTTTGGGATTTTTGATCCAAAAATGCGACAAGTCGTTTTGACAGTCCTCTACCCAAAGAATTCTGAAGAGACCGAAACAGGTGAAAATCTGAGGGTGCAAGGTCAGGACTATATGGTGGATGCATTAACACTTTCCAACCAAGCTCTCAAGTTTTTCTGAGTGGTTAAAGATCTGTGTGGTCTGGCGTTATTATGATGAAAGATTTTCTATCGGACAATTCCAGCCGTTTTTTCTCAATTTCTTGCTTCAGTCTTACTACTTGTTGCCAGTAGAGATCTGAATCGATGTTTTTGCCCAGATGTAAAAGCTCATAATAAACGATGCTCTTCTAATCCCACCATACACACAGCATCACCTTATTGCGTGTTAATCCGGGTTTCGCTAGAGTCTGTGAACTTGACTACCCTTTGACCAAGATCTTTTTCGCACGATCTTGTTGTAGGTGATCGACTCCCATCACCATTGATTAATCTTTGCAAAAATATTTCAGTTTCATTAGAAAATTATGTTTCAATAGAGAATCGCAAATGAGTACACGATACCTTAGGTTCCTTTCAGTGAGCTCGTGTGGTACCTAAATATCTATCTAATGTTTCGAAGTCGTTATAATACTTCATAAATTACTTAGGTCTCAGAGGCAGTAAACTTTTTGTTTAGTTTGAGACGTTAATATATTATATTATATAATAAATATAATATACAAATACCTTCTCATATTCTTCATAAAAATTTATTCTTTATTTTTTGAAAGCAGTTTTTACACCCCACTCTTTTGCTAATCTCTAGACTCGCTCAGCAAATCATGGAGTAAATTTTGATTTCTTATTTCGCTCAGTCTATTCAAAAGATTACTTAGTAAAAAGTCATTATTTTCATGTTGTAGAGCTTTAGATACAGGATTAATGTAATGATTTTAAATAGTGAATAAAATAGGCGAGAAGCACTATAAAACTGTAGGCTCTTTAAAATAGTAACTATATTTTTCCATTCGTCACGTTCGCCTTTTTAGTGGAAATTAAATTTAGTTGGTACAAAGTTTTCATTATTAATATAATTCATCATCAAAATAATTTTTCCTTATAAATAAAGCGTCGTTTGTTGAAGACCTTTTTAAGGCAATTTTATATTATTTGGATGAATCGTTACTCAGCATAGACAAGCGTTCTAAACTATTGTTAAAAAAAGTATATTTTTTGGGTTATTCCGTTTATCAACCCTAAAAATCCACCCTATAGTGGATACCAGTGCAAACGCGTGTTCATCTATCGTCCCCAGACGGGGTTGATAATCGGAGTTCACTTTTTATTTTTTCTTCCGACTTTTTACCCCAAGTACAGAACTCTACAGACTCTTTAATTATGAATTAATTTTTTTTAAACATTACCCCCACACTACGATTTTCTCCTGCATCGTGGAGGCAGTTTACAAACATAAACTGCACAAGGACAAACATCCAGACCGGCAACAATTATTTGTAGGCCATACAAATACTTGTTCCATGCGGAATTAAAACCCGCGGCCCCACACGCAGCAAATCATTGCTAAGCCACTGCGCCTTAAATTTGACAGGCAGTAGTACCTGTAAACATGTAATTGATTGCACCCCTTAAAAATATTTTTTTGTAGTTTGTCTAAACCGGGTTTGTCTCATGGAATGTACACAGAGAGCACTACTTACGATACTATAGTGTAATAACCGCCGCACTACCGCGGTCTGCCTGCTCTTTTCTCATTCCATCACAACTACCAATAAATCTATTACGAATATATTACCCGTAGTATTCCTATCTGCTTCCTGAAGATATTATCCATCATTTATTAATTATAGCCTTTCAAAAGCCACCTAATGAACATTTTCCATAGATTGCCTCATAGGGAGAATATATGCCATAGTCCCCTCTCTTAGCAAGTGGATTGGCAACAGCAACTTTTTATTATTTTAATCAAGAAGATACAACTGCTTATCTCATGTCTTGTTAGATACTCACGGGATGGTATAGGGATGCCATCTCTTACGCCGCCGCCACACGCGGCGTTATGAAGATCCTGTCTGTACTTCATTACGTCGAAACATTTTCATCCAAGCTAATATAGCTTTCTCGATGGTTTTATTTTCCGCTGTGCAAATGGTAAATGAGCATATAAAATTGGGATTACAAACGCGATTCAACTCGCTTGTATACTGTGTGAATATAAAGATACAGATAAGTTTTTACCAAAGATTACAGCTATTGAAAATTAATAAAATGTTTCCAAATTCTGTTTGAAATTTTCCTAAATCTTAAAATTTATATTTGCCTTTTTATTTCATATTTTACTAAGCTGTACTTTTGAATATAATGTGATGGATGCAAATTGAGGCATTCTTTGAAAAATGATAATTAAATTATAAATATTTTAAAACCTACAAATTAATGATCACACTATCACTATCACATTTTTGAAATGATGCTTCAAAGAAAACAATAATTTCAAAGAAATATTTTTATTAATTTCGCTTATGCTGATTTAACTAACTAGACCATGAACATAAAATAGTTTGAGAAAAATGTCTGATACAGACTTTGTCAATTCCATGCTCTCTCATTGCTTGCATATCGCAACTAATCTATACTTTATTCAAGGGAAATTTCGGAAAGACCTTGCTTTAATAAATTATTATTGTTTTGTCACTAGGTGATGACAAGAAGATTAAAGTTTGGGACCTGGCTGCTTGTACATGCATACATGAACACCGTGGACATCATGGTAAAATAACAGCATTGGACTGGTCTGCAGTGGGGAAGGCGAGCCTCACAAATAGAGTTGTGTTAGACCCTAATGACATATCAGTGGATAATTCACTGTTATGTTCAGCTGGTATGGATGGTGTTGTGAAAATTGCATGGGATAGTCATTCAAAAAATAAGTAAGTTTTATGTTATACATCGTTATTATTACAACACTTCACAAGTCCACAGCTGAACATAGGCCTCCTCCACGCCTGCCACAAAGCACAGTCCTGAGACACCTGCATTGGTTTTCGGTTCTTCCAAGATATATGGCCGGCCCAAAGCTTACTAATTTGTTGGGCTATGTTGGTTACTCTGGTTCTACTGTGGATAATTTCATTTCTAGTTTTATCACGCAAAGAAACACCAAGCATAGTCCTTTCCATAGCTCGCTGAGCGACCTTGAGCTTCCTCATATGGTCAAGTGTTGTATGTACAAGAATTTTATAGAGCAGTTTTAGTTCATTGTAAAATTAATTGCACATCTCTTGTGAATTGTAAGAAACAAATTATTTCTAATAAGTGTAGGAATTACACTTTTAAACCAAACAATCAGTATAATGAATTAATAGAATCTATTTTATGAAAATAGTAAATATGTTAATCCCATAATTAATTATGACGCATTATGATGAAAGGAATGTTTTGTTTCAGGCAAGTCACCAGTCAAGACATGATTACTTCTACCTACAATACAAAGTGTTCCTATTTAGTTGATGTACAAGTACATCCAGACTGGCTAGTTGCCATTGGAACAAATAGATAAAATACTACAGTGTATTAACAATTATTTTATTAAATTATGAAACCAAAATATGACTATTTATTCTTTAATAATGACCTGCAGTACATTATTTTTTGTTTTGATCTCAATAATGTATAACATGTACATGATTTTATGAAGTAAATCCATCAGTTTACAGATTTATTAAAGAAATTCATAATTGTAGTTTGTTTCCCTGTTTGGGGTTGAATTACCTTTTTCTTAGAACTTTTTACACCATTCTTCTTTTCTTTTGGTGAGGTCTCTATTACTTTTTTATTAATATGTTCAACATTTTCTTTACTTGTTACTTCTTCATCATTTTCGGAACAACTCTCATATACTTCTTCCTTTCTAGTTAAAATATAACCATCTTCATCAGTATAAGTCTTATCCACAATCTTTCTCCTTTTTTTAGGATTCACAATACCCGAAGTGATTTTAATGGTATTAACAGATGGGGTAGGAGGTATTTCATCTTCTGACTCATTTTGTAAATCCATATGTTTTTCAGAGTAAAATGGGTCATTAGTTTCATTATCACTCTCACTATCTGAAACACGTAACACTCTCTTTCTTTTCTTATCAACTTTTAAGTTTTTCTTTGTAATTTTCTGAATTTTCTTATCTTCCACTACATCTGATCTTTTATCAGTCATTTTCTCTGCTTCTTGTTTGTTCTTAACTTTATCACTTTCTTTAATTTTCTTCTGTTCACTTTCTACTGCTACTGATATTTTTTCTACTTTAACTTCTGTTGTAGTAGACTCTACCTTGACCTCTTTATTTTCTGTTTGGGCTGGTTTTTTTTCTATTTCCTTTTTAATAGTAACTCCATTAGATTTACCGAAAAATCCAGCTATGCCTTTCTGTTTTATATTATTTTTATTTGCTGTTTTGCAAATCTCTTCTTTTTTTGGTGAATTTCTTTCTTTTTTTATATTTTCCTGAAGCTTAATTCCATTGTGCTTAGTCTCCTCTTTATTATTTCCTGATTCATCTGATTTTTCAGAAATCTCATTCTTTATTTTCTTTGGAGGTATATTTTGAATTTTATTATCAATTGAAACATAATTTTGACTGTTAGACTTCAGAACTCCAATTTCATCAGCAGTTCGTTTAGAGCATTCACTACATTTTATTATACCTGTACATAAAGTAAAATCCTCGAATTTATTAGTAGTTAATAACGAAGCATTATCTACACGTGAAAACCCTTTGCTAACACTGTATATATGTTCGAAAAATATAGCCTCAAAGCTCTTTTTAATAACGCTTAATTCAGTTTCCATGCACACAGTTGTTTTAGCAACGTTTTTATCTGTTATGCCAGAAATAATATAATTAATATTTAGAGCAATCTTCGGATTCTTGTTACGAATATCTTCTATGAGCTTCTGCAACAATATTTTGCTTTCGTTGACATGTAGGCAAAGTTCTTTACTAAGTGAAATGTATGTAACTAGTTTTTCTTCGTCCAATATCATTTCCTGCACGGTAATTAATAAATTTTTAATGTTTTCCCCCATATTTGCATTTACTAATATGCATGTAACATGTACATAAACATCTTCGTTTTAGCGCACTTTTAACGTAGGCATTTGACAAGTGACAAACGGTATTTTGCTCTTTTTTATTAAGACATTACATTTTGCTTAGATGCTTGTCCTTTAAGCTATGTCTTCATTCGGGATAATCATTTTTAATAGAATAAAGATATTAATAGTTATTTTCCAACCATCCGCTCAATTAAATGATGTGTCTTACCTAGTTTGAAGAGCATCTTCCGCCCTCCCAGTAATCCCAGCACCACTACTCCCAACACCACTACTTCCAACACCACTATTCTAGGAAAGACACACCATCGACGATAATGCGACACGTGTTTCGCCTCAACACGAGGCATCTTCCAGTGATGCAGACTCTACGGCGGCTGACCGCTAAATCTTCTGCGCGGCGGTGTGTCTTTCCTAGAATAGTGGTGTTGGAAGTAGTGGTGTTGGGAGTAGTGGTGCTGGGATTACTGGTGACGAGATTAGTGCACGCAATTGAAGAAGGGTAGGAGGTGCTCTTCAAACTAGGTAAGACACATCATTTAATTGAGCGGAAGGTTGCAAAATAACTATTAATATCTTTATTATAATGGATTTCCGCAAAGTAATGCCTGATTCTATCAATTATTTTTGATGACATCTCAAGTCTCAACCCAGGGGACAGTCGATGACGACGGTAACTCAAGTTCTTAAGGTGCCCACACGAACAACTTGAGGCCCATGTCAACAGCGATGCGCTTTTTTCGTCATTTCCACTAATAATTCACATGCTCAAACACTTAAGTCGCATTACTTTTCCGGATCAACATTCACTTCAAACCATTATTTAAACGATAAAACAGGATTAATAATCTGACGATGATCAAAATCAAAACACGGTATTTTGCTCACAATATCTTTGCCTCAGAGTTATTACATGCATAGAGAGAAACCTAAAATAAGAGACAGCCACATTCACAACCGCAACCTGCAGCTGAAAAACTGTTGCGATTTGCGATCATATCGATACATTTCAAAGATTGACGTGGAAGTCGCAGCGCTATTTACTACATTAACACGTTTCGTAATGAAGAAAAAACAAAGAAAGATTTCGATGACAAAGTTTTCGGTATCCATCATAAACGTATCACGTGAACACAATTCCACTCAATAACGGGCTGGAGCCTTCCGAGTGATCGGAGCATTATGCGGGTAGCGGCATCGCAGTGAACATAGGAATAGAACTTACGTATATATTTTTGTATGTAGGTACGCATACGCAGTATACGCATGTTGCGTATGAGCCCTAAGGTTATATATTTTTGGTTGATGAGGAGATACTTAGTTGGATTCATAGTGGCTTAAATAGTAAAATACCAAGTTATTATCTTTAATGTACAAAATCTATATAATGTTATGTATAAAAAAATCTATATCTTTTTTGTCGCCTAACACATAATTTCCACACGTCCTGGATTGACTGGGAGAGAATGCCTAAAGGCATTAAGTTCGCTCTTTGGTATCCTTTTTATTAAGGTGCAATAAAGAGTAAATAAATAAATAAATATTTAATTTTATTTAAAGTTTTTGAAGTTAAATTTTGAAGTCTTCTGGTCCCCACACATAGTTGAAATTATCAGTTGAACTGACGTACATCCAAAAACTGATCGTGGGTGTGGAATCTTGGTTGAAAATTTTAACTGACGGCACTCCACGGAATTTTTTCGGGCATACCCTATTCCGCTGGCTTCAGTTTGCTTTAGTTAATGGTAAGTAATTCATTTATTAGTAGCTACTTACATTATTTCTATGATATTTAGATTTTTTTAATATTTTATAAATTTAGAGAATTTCGTTTGACGGAGGATGGAGACTAATGTGACTGTGATGATGTCACCTTCCTTATGATTGACTCAGAAGGTGGGTAAAGTATCTTAGTGATGGTACTTAGAACAATCATGTTAGAACTCATTTTCAAAAAGGTTCCTGAATACCTAGATGATTGTGATGATATCACCTAGCTGATGGTGAACTCCGAAGTTGAGTATTTGATCTCAGTGACGACACTAGATAGAACGATCGTGTTTGAACTCATTTGAAAGGGCTCGTAAAGACCTAGGTGACTATTATGATCTCACCTTTCTGATGGTGCAATCCGGAGGTGGGTATAGGATTTTAGTGACGGTACTAGATAGGACAATCTTGTATGAGTTCATGTGAAAGGACTTATAAAGACCTATGTCATAATATAGTATGTATGATATAAAATATCTCAGTGATGCCACTACAAAACATCATCGTGCTTTGGCTCATTTGAAAGGGCTCGGGTAGACTAAGGTGATTGAGTAAATATGCCATGACTTTAAGAGGAAGTAATTAGTTAAAATACTCTTTTAGATTTATTATGTTTTGTGGCTTATTAACAGATTGTGTAATAGTAAAAACAGTATCTATTATTACTCACTTAATTTATTATGTTTTCAAGCAATAAAGAAACCAGCAAAACTCCCATTTAGGCACAAAATTAGAAACCTGCCACATGTTTTATAGACAATAAAAAACAAGGCACACAGGAAAAAGTTGCATATCCAACTAAAACCAGAAGACGAAAATATCTGCGTACTTCAAGAAAGCCTACAAGCACCATCAACACCAATTCCTATAATGATCAACTTACTTTTTATAGTATAGGATGACAAACGAACACACAGCCCACCGGTGACGGTATGTGGTTGCTGTGGCCCATAGATTGTACTTGTAGTTGGTATTTATAATTCAATTATTTTTGACTGCAATTGAGATGTTTAGATTTAGTAAATGAAACAATGTTCTACTCAATGATCTATAATACACTAATACTAGACATTTAAAAAAACAATTTTATCGGATTTTATTGTGTTTAATTTAACTTATTTTTATTTATTTAAATGCCTGACGTTTTGGTGATTCACCTTTATTTTAGAATGTAATATGTAGCGTGCTTAATTAGATAAACACAAAAAGCTAGGCCATCCTAACTATTTTCGTTACTGAAAACCGATAAGCGCTTATCTATTCATCATAACACCTTCAGAATGTGCCCATTTCCACGAAATTTTCGGTCGCAACTTAATTTGCTAGCTTCAGTTCATTTGCTTCACGCCAAAGCTAAACCGACCGTGAGTGAGCGTGCTTATAGTATAGGATAATTTAATTTTTAATCATTAAAATAAATTATGTAATTTTATTATTAAAATATACACTAAAATTAATAACACATTTATTTAATAAATAAAATTAACCATTATGAATAAAAAGACAGAGAAGCCTATAGACTAACGTAGTTTTAGGTTATATAATAATCTTTATGACTTTTAAACATATTTAGATAACATTTTTAACTGTTCTAAGAACTGAAATGAACAAGATTCACCAATCTAAAGCTCACAAAACACTTTTTCCACTTAAACCAACTTTTAAACTCCTTAGATCGCTACGAACTGTCAAAGTTGTTTAGAAAAGTGTAGTTTGCTAAACAATCACACCGCTCTGTCTCATTCCTATGCAAGACGTATGCATAAATCTATCTTTTTGCGAATGCGAAAGAAGGTGTCACTTTATCTATAGGTTTCTCTGTCTACAATAATTAAGGATTTTTTTTAAATCCGTTTCGTAATACTTATTTATATCAACGAAAGTTTATGGAAGCTTCATCTGACATCTCAACAAACGTAGTTGAATAATACAGAATTTCATACTATCTTTTTTTTATTTTATAGAAGAGGGGATAAACGAGCATGCGGCTCACCCACAGATTACCTCCTAATAGATTCCGCATACAGGGCCACAAACGCGCGCAACACATACTTGCTGTAGCTAGCATATGAAGTCACGCTAAGAATCACGATATCATTGTCGACCAAGTTTGTGACCCGTAGGCACGTCCGAGTTTTTGAAAATTTAAAAATAATTTTGGTATCCAAAATACATTACAAATGGCTTCTTATGCAGTGAAATGTGTAGCAAGTTAGCTAAGACATCCAGTTATCAAAAAGATGGCATAATATTTCATCGGTAAGTAAATTTTATTCTTATCACTTCTATTTCAAATGCACCGGAGTTCAACTTACACTGGACTTATAATGTTGCAAAGTGATATCATTTGAGGTGAGTCTTTTTGAAATGACCCTTTTACTCATTACGTAAATTAAAATAGTTGTCTTTGTCTAACGACAGCACGTGTATCGATAGTGTTGTGATTTATGAGTCGATATTTGTTTGGTCATCGTTTACTTTTTTTTGTAGTCATCATTTTATACAAATAGTGGCGTATAATTGTGCTACCTATATGTTATAGGTTTCCTAAATGGCCCGAAAGGAAAAGATGTGGATCGACGCTACATGTCGAGGGGACCATTGGTTTCCCACCAAAAATAGTGTGCTATGCTCAAGACACTCCACAGAAGACAATCTTCATATTACGAAAAACCGTAGAAGGCTGTTAGATTCCGCTATACCATCTCTATACTTGCCAGTTTTAGTATGGACTTTTACATTTTTTTAAAAGTATAATACCAATGGTGATTACACAATAAGTAATAGCATTAAGTGGTTGATTGAAACGTGATATTCTAATATTTAGGCGAATGTTACACGTCGAAATTAAACTATTTTTAACGGATTTATAAATCATAGAACAAGTGAAAGTTATAATGTGATTAATGTTATTCTAGTATTACATGAACTTCAGTAATATCCTATTATTATTATTATTAAGTACATCTAAATTTGAAACACGTACCATATGGTTTTTTAATTAATAATACTACTTTTAGGTGCAACACTAGGCAAAAAATACTGTCACCACCGAAAGGACATACCAGAACACACACAAAGGATACACACAATTTTGTTAGTGAGATAAAAGACCTACATCTCGCTGACAATGAAACTATGGTCAGTTTTGGTGTTCAGTC